CAAACACAAATACTCAGTTTTTCATGGATTTATTACCATCTTTGTTCTGTTGACTTTATATACTATGTTAAATTAGAGTAATCTTGTTGCTTATTCCCTCTTGAGAGGTATGCATTTAAATAGCAGATAACAGCTATTTGGTAACATAGTCACCCATAACTCATAAATGCACACTAAACCTTATAATTTTTGTTTTGACTTCACTGGGTTGCAAGAAGATTATACCTCAACTTTTACTGGGATACTCTGACCATCCAATCTTACGTTGGGCTGGGGTTCTTCAGGCTGATTATTATGCAAGAATGTAGGGATGGTGGTGCATTCTAATCTTCCAAGACGTTTGTTAAAATGAGTTAATGTTGAAACATCTTTCATCCTACTGAGGTTAGCCTTTTAATTGTAGCACTTCCAGCCACAGGATCATTTTCTGTTTCTGCATCCTAATTAGGGAAGAAGTATCTGGTGCCTGGACCCAACCCACCTGCCAAAGTATTAAACGCATTCACATTTGCTGTGGAGTGTGGCCTCTTCTCAGTGGCTTTGCTAGGAAGCGTCAGCAACAGCACTCCCTCCCATAAATTCATCTAAAGTATAAGTACACATGTTTATTCAAACAAAGGACATCATTTTCACCTTTAAATAAGTCTTTCCCTTTTTTCTCTGATCTACACAAACATTTCATCTACATCCCAGTCAACTGTTTTAGCTCTTCTATTCAAATGTCAATTCAAGGCACTTTGTTTTTACCCTCCTACCTCTCATTGTATCTATGTACTCATTTTTGATTTCGTAATTCCTTTGCAAGAGAGAAGCCAGGGAGACACTCAGGCTACTTCTCTTTTCCACTTTGCCAAGTTCCTCTTCTGGGGCAAGGACACAGAACCAAATGTGTCAGAAGTGGTGTGGGAGGGAAAGGGAGCTAACAGAAGAAACATTAGGTTGATATTCAAAAATACTTCACACATTTTGAGTTGAGCATGAGCATTTTATGTCTATTTCTGAGCTTCCCATGGTTTACTAATAGTACAGTGTACATAACTTACCTGTTTTTGCTAAAATAAAAGCTGCTTTGAATTCTGAACCCTCCTCCCTATACTCCAGAAATACAGGGCATACACTTTCATAATTGTAGCTCAGGAAACTTGAGACAGTTTCAGTACAATTTCACATAGATTAAATATAACTGCCCTGGTCATTTCCTATCCAAGGACTGTCTTAATGGATTGATTTTATAATTTTACTTTTCAACATAAGTATTTTGTAGTTAAAATTTTAAAAATACAGAAAAAGCTTCTGTTTCCCAAACTGATGATTTCTTATAGAAGATCAATGTTAAATTCTAAATCCTTTCAGATAGTTTTATTAATATGTGTTTATTCATTTCTCCATATGTAATATATGTACATGTGTATATACATTTTGTTATCCAAGTGTATTGTAGTTCTGAACCTTCATCTTTTGGCTCACCAGTGTATCTTGGGCATCTTTCCATAACAGTTGCTTCTTTACTTTTTTTTTTCTTTTTTTTGGTGGAACCAGGGATTGAACTCAGGCCCTCGCGCTTGCCAGGAAAGTGCTTATTCTGCTGAGCCATCTCCCCAGCCCCCAACATGCATACTATTTTTTACCAATACTTTTTTTTTTTTGCTATTTTTAGCTAATAATAATACCATATGGATATACATAATTAATTAACCATAGTAGCACCCCTTCATCTGCCTTTGCAAATTGGGCATTGTTTTAGATCTTGAACTATCTTGTTTGAGACATGAGTCATTCCTTTGTCCAGCACATCCGCACTACATGTGTTATTCGTCCTTTAGTTAAGTTATCATTTTAGCTGCCATATCAACTGGTAAGGCATTACTAATACCATATTCCATAACTTGTTACAGTAATTGTTATAACTCTTCTACTTTATTGATACTACTCTCATTGTTCCTACTTTATAAATTAAACTGTAATTTGTGCTATAAATTGCAAATTTTTTTGAAAATCCTTTTTTTTTTTTTTTTTTTTTGCAGAACTAGGAATTGAACTCAGGCCCTTGCGCTTGCCAGGGAAGTGCTTATTCCACTGAGCCATCTCCCCAGCCCCCTTGGAAACACTTTTGATTTGACATTTAATTTTTGCTGCATAATTTTAGGAGTTTTTTTGTGTGTGAGTACATCTGTTAGATTTCTGGGTTTTAACATTGCTCATGAATTTTGTATTATGGTTAAAAAGATCTGTGATTTCCAGCCAGTGAGTCCTTTTATACCTCTTTGGGGTGGGGAGGTACTCTGCACCTTTATATTTAGATCGTAAGTGTTTTAGAATTAGCAACTTTTATGTCATGGTTCTATAATTTAGCATAATACAGAGAGTGGTATATAAATGCAACTTTTCTTCCTTGTTCTATGTGATATCTTTACTGAATGAGATAAAAAATTTTTTTCTGTACTGGAGAGCTTGGGATTACAGGCATGTGCCACCACACCCAGTTTCAATCTCCATCTCAGCCTCAGCGTCTCAGTGCAGGGCAAGACCGGCACTGGGAGATAGGTTCTTTTTTTTTTTTTTTTTTTTTTTTGGCGGTACTGGGGATCAGGCCCTTGCACTTGCCAGGCAGCACTTATGCCACTGAGCTGTACCCCCAGCCCTGTGAGATAGGTTCTTGCTAGTCATTAATCTACCCCTGCCTGGGTTCAAGTCTGTGATCCTCCTCCTTCAGTCTCCCAAAGTGCTGGGATTATAGATGTCTGTCACCATACCTGGCTATAATTGACTCTATTTGGCCTTCTGTACTCTGTATTCTGCTTTTTTGGGGGGTTAGATCTGTTCATATATCAAGACCATGCCAACTCTTTCAGATATTGAGGTCCTAGACTATACTTCAGTGTCAAGTATGATTAGTCTCCCTTTGACTTCTGTTTATCATATAACATTTAGAGTTAGCTTTTTCCTTTTCTTTCTTTTTTTTTTTTTTAAATGTATTTAGTTGTTACAAGATCTCACTATGCAGGTCAGACTCATAGTGATCCTCCTGTTTTCAGCCTCCCTCACACTGGAATTACAGGCATACACCACTATACCTGGACTCTGGCTGGATCAGCCCGCCGTAGGGGGTAGGTAGGGCTATCACTGCGTGTGGTACCAGGGATCAAACCACAGTATCTGTGCTTGCCTAAGCTTGCCTAAGCAGGTGCTTCAGTCTGCTGAGCTATCTCACTGGCCCCAGAGTTAGCTTTTTTCTGTCCAAGTAAAAAATGTTTCATGTTACTTTCTTAGAAAAATATTTATTCAAAAACAATTATCACAATCTACTGTTACTTTTTTCACATTCATTCTCTCTTCACTAGAATTACTCCATGAAGACATTGGTGGTTTCTATTTTGTTTACTACTCTATGCTTGTCAGGTAACATAGTAACAAATGCAAAGAAGTCCCTCAATGTAGGTGTTCAGTAAATGAATAAGTGAAGTTTGAAATTTGCTATTAAAATAAAACTACTATACTAAAAATAGTAGGACATTGATCATGGAGTTAGATTCTCAGAAAAAAACTTATCTTAGTCACTTTGTTACAAAACACTACTAAAACCTACAGCTTTAGAGAAGGACTTATTTGGCTTATTTTAATCCATCATGAGGCTTAAATTATTTGTCACAGATTTTTTTGCTATGTTGCTGGATTTTGGAGTACCATACAGTATACATATGTTGTTAAAATTATGTGGGTTTATGAGTTTAAAAAGTGGTTAAGAACATTAGAAGTGGGGGGCTTGGCCTTAGCTCAGTTGTTTAAGTGGCTGCTTCCACAAAGCTGTCAGCCTCAGGTTGCTGTAGTTTGATCCCCACAACACACCAGCCAGCCAAACCACCCCTTAGGGCATTTAGAGAAAAAAAAAAAAAAAAAAAAACATTAGAAGTGTTTTTAAAGGTGTGGGAAGGGTTTATAAGACTGGGAAGGGGTTATAAAGCCTTAATATATATAAATATTAAAATAAATATGTCACTACTTAGCTGATTTTTTTTTCTCTGATATTCACTTAATGTAGGGTTGTCTGGAATGTAGCCTCTATGATAACTGAGGGACCACTGTACTTTTTTTTTTGTCTTTTTGAGACAGGGTCTTGCAGTGCAGTGCAGGCTAGCCTCGAGCTCACTCTGTATGGTCTCAAACTCTCAAGGATCCTCCTACCTCAGCCTCCCAGGTGCTGGGATTACAGGTGTGTGCCACCAAGCCCAGCTTATGCTTTTGACTTGATTTCTGTAGAAAAAATACAGTTTCAAAATGACTATGGGTAGGATCTGGGATCTCAGCTCACTGATAAATTGGGAATGCAGCGAGCAGAGCAAAAGAACCAGAAGATCTGGGTTTAGTGGTGCATACCTCTAATCCACTTACTTGGGAGTATCCAGAGTTCCAGGCTAGCCTAGGCAATTAGGTTTTACACTGTCTCAAAGTAGAGGAGACTGGGGATATAGCTCAGTGTAGAGTACTTGCTCTCATACACAAGGCCCTAGTATCAGTGCCACATACTGATTAAGAGAATCAGATTAAGTTTATGACTTTTGGAGGAAAGTATGAAGAGATACTCCACAATTGATTCATATATCCTGTGGTGTAGAGTGAAAGGAATCACTTAATACTAAATAGTAAAAGACAACAAGGTATGATTCATGAAATGAAAAAATGTCAAGATGCCTTAAGGAGAGTTTTAACGATTTTTACTGTAGTTACACTTCATAAAACTGAAAATATTCTTAAATTGAATTTTGCTCTTTTCTACATATTACAATTTAATTAAAATACTTAGTGATGTGACTTCTAATCATGCTTCTATAGTTTGTACTTCTGTAAGTACAAAGTTAGTTTGTACTAAGCTTCAATCTCTTATTGTGAGAATGGTTGCATATGTTTCAGAAGACCAGAAATACACACGATCTTTTGAATATAAAGACACTAGTTTAAATTATTCTAGTGTTAATACTTTTTTCCTTTTTTTTTTCATTAAGGATTCTGGACTCTACTTATAATATCGCTAAGTGCTGGGTTCTCGTGTTGTAGCTTTTCTTGGACAGTGACTTATTTTGATTCTTTTGAGCCGGGAATGTTTCCTCCTACTCCTCTTTCACCTGCCAGGTTCAAGTAAGTACAATATTCCTATTTCTTGTCTTGCCTTGCCTTTCTTTCTCTCTTTCTCTTTCTCTTTCTCTTTCTCTTTCTCTTTCTCTTTCTCTTTCTCTTTCTCTTTCTCTTTCTCTTTCTCTCTTTCTCTTTCTCTTTCTTTCTTTCTCTTTTTTTTTTCCTAATTCATTTCAACTTGTTTGAAAATTCTATGGTATGGGTAGCAGATACTCATACCATACTTTTCTAATGAAAATTCATACTTTAGTGTAACAGTAGCTGGCTGTGCATCTCAGTAGCTGTGCTACGAGAATACAAGAAGCAATTTTGTGTTCACCTCTGTGGTATGATACACAGCAAGGTGTATGCATGTGTATCGAAGAGTGAACAGGTGAGTCTTACCCATGTTATGACTCATACACTTGCGCTTGCCAGGCAAGCACTTACTCAACTGAGCTATCTTCCCGACCTACATTTTTGTATATTTTTAAATTAAGTGTTTTGTTTTGGTTTTTGATAGAATTAACCCAGTTGAGTACAATAGCTCATGAAAATTCACTTTTGGGAGGAGGTTAAAAAGTATATAAATAGTAGATCAGTTGGCTACTGGTGATGACTTAGGTCATGTAAGCCAAAAAAGTTAGCAAGATAAGACAGAATTACAGAAATTAAGACCTTGATTCCGACGAGGAAGAAAACTAATGCACGTAAATATTGGACTAGTCAAAAATCCTACACAATGATCATGTATACCTGTACAAACCAACATTAGAACTAGTTCCAAAGATATTACTAGGTCCTTGCCAGCAGTGAAACCTATTGGATAGAAAGCCATGGGCCGGGGAGATGACTCAGTAGAATAAGCACTTCCCTGGCAAGCACAAGGGCCTGAATTCAATCCCCCGTTCTGCAAAAAAAAAAAAAACAAACAAAAAAAAAGTCACTGCTGCACTTCAAAGTTGGAAATCGTTTGTAATGGATGATATGCTACAAGATATTTAGAAATACACTGATAATGAAATACAAGTAAAACATTCTGTACACATCAATAGCAATCTCAAGAATATATTTATCATGATATTGCATATGAATTGATATCTTTCATAGCAAGACTTTATCATTTTAATCATCGTAGTCTAAAGGATTTATGGAGAAATGACAGATGTGGTGTTAAGATTTTTAGAACAATAATGACCCTCAAGAGATTTGGTAGCTGGTGCAGTGGTGTAGGCCTATAATCCCAGCACTCAGGAGGCTCAGGCAAGAGGATCCTTGAGAGTTTGAAAATAGCCTGAGGTACAAAATAAACTCAAGGCCACCCTCAACTGCATAGAGAGACCTTATCTCAAAAAGATACACACACACAGTGCTGTGGTAGTTGTGAAGACATTTTACACCTTGAATTTAGAAATTTATTCTGGAACTGAGTCACCATATCTTTCTTTGTGCAGTAATAAACCATATGACTTTGCAAGTAGACTTGTGCCTATTTCTGGTACATTTCTTTTCTCCAATTTTACATGCATATGTCTGGTAATGTGAATATATTGGCAATATGAATAACAGGTAATATAATAATATGAATAACTGGTTGGAAGATAACCAGTATTACAACTAATACTGTGAAATTCATGCTACTTTGTTAAGTAAAATTCTGTATCACTTGCAATTTTTTGTTTTAATTCTTATTTGTACTCTCTTAAAACAAGTAAATAAAAAAGTAACCCAAAATAGTCTAAAACCAAAACCAAAAAACCACTGAAAAGTAACCCACGTCACATTTGACAGTTGGTTCACGCATTACTCACGGATATTACATTTGCTGAAAGAACACCAGTTGACCAGCATAGGAACTATTCACAAGAACAAAGCCAAGATTCTGAAAAAACATTGCAGGTTCACAAAAGAGAAATGCATAGTACAATGTTTGGATTTCAGAAAGATACAACATTGGCCTCCTCTATGGCCAAGAAAAATAAAGTGGTATTGATACCATGATGATAAGATGGCTGGATATGGTGGTGCATTCCTGTAATCCCAGTACTCAGGAGGCTGAGGCTGAAGGATCCTATGAGGTCAAGGTCAACCTTTGCTACAGGGTTAGTTCAAGACTAACGTGGACTACCTAGTAATATCCTGTCCATAAACAAGCAAAAAGATTGATAGTGACTCCTTACAAGTAAAGCCAGAAATGATCACATTTTAGAGCAAAATGAAAGGCAGAGTCAGTGTTGATGCATTGGCTAATGGTTATATTTTACTCAGTTTTAAACATGCCATAATTAATTGCATAGTTTACAAAGAAAATAACAAGCACAAAGTGTGGAGAAATTTTGTTAGCATATTGGGACTGGAATCTGTGTATAACAACAGAGGAAGAACAGCATGTATATGCCCAGAGAACTCTGCAAAAAAAGTTGTGGAGCAGACAAGTGAACAAACAGGTGAAACATCATAAGACTACTACTAAGAAACAGGAAGACCAGTAAGATGTCAATTATATCCAGCACAGAAGACAGGAAAACAAAACACATTCTTACACTGTAAGCAATATTTGTGTGTGAAACATGTTGTCATGTGAGAAAACTGCATTAGATGTCATAACTGAAATAATGATTGTGATAGTTCTACTTGTATTTTCATTGTAGTTCACATAGAAATTTATTTCTACGTGTTTTTTTATTTTATTTATTTTTTCTATTTAGTATAGAGTTTTACTACACAGATCACACTCATAGTGATGCTCTGTGTTCAGCCTCCCAAGCACTGGGATTATAGGTGCCCTGGGGGGCAGGGCCTGCATAGACGGCCAAGGATCTAACCGTGTTCCTGTGCCTGCCTAAGCAGGTGCTTTAGTCCGCTGAGCTATCTGGTTAGCACTATTTTTTAAGATACATAAGCAAACAGCTTCTGTTGATAGTATGTTCTTAGAACTCATTACATACTAAAGATTTAATATTTTATTGATTTTTTCCTGTTAAGTATACATTGTTTAAAACTCATAAAATTTAATAATTCATCAGTAGAAATATTTCTAAAACAATAAATATGGGCCTTGTACATCCACCATAATGTGCCTTTCAAAATTTTTGTGATGCCCCTGGGGTTGAGGTTCTGTATAAGAAACAAATGACATAAGATTTTTAATTTATGCCCCCTTTATAAATAGGTAAAGCATTTTAAATGCAATAGGTAGTGTAATTTTTAAATAACAAAATTCAGGGAATTATCTTAAGAACTGAGAAACTTTCATAGTTGTCCTCTTCAAATGGAATTTGAAAGAGGGTTTGTAAAGTCAGAATTAATACTAACACCTTCAGTGCTTTACAAGGTTCATGTAATAAGTAGTTATACTCAGAACAGTTTAAAAATCATTTTGGAATTTTCCTCAGGATTTAAATTTTTTATAATTATTTTCAGTCGTCTGTGGCACCCAATATATAGATACAGACCAGATTGGATTTTTAAAAAAATACTCAAATAGTATTCAGTTTCTTTGTTCTATGTTTTCTGTATTTCAGAGAATTTCAGAAAACTCAGTAGGCAGTGATCTAATCCAGTATTATGAAGACTCTACTTTTTTTTTTTTTCATTTATGTATTTGGTACAGGGTCTCACTACACAGCTTGGACTTGTAGTGATCCTCCTGTTTTTAGCCTACCCAGCGCTGAGGTTTCAGCAGTGTGCCACCACACCAGGACTCAGTTGCTGGGATTGCTGGTTCAACGTGTCTCAGGAGAAGGGCTGGCGTGGCATTTGGGATTGGGGAAACCCTGGTCTCTGCACTTGCCAGAGCAGGCATTTAGTCTGCTGAGCTATTTTGCCAGTCCATGAAGATTCTACTTTGAAATATCAATTTTATTTTATTTATTTATTTTTTATTTAGTACAGGATCTCGCTAGGTAGATCGGACTCATAGTGATTCTCCTGTTTGCAGCCTCCGAAGTGCTGGGAGTACAGGTGTGCACCACCACGCCCAGTCTCAATAGCTGTTTCTGCATGCCCTGGGCCGGGGCCAGGATGGCACACTGGGGATCGAACTCCCGGCCCCTGCCTAAGCAGGCACTTTAGTCTACTGTAGAGTAGACTAGTCTACTGAGCTATTTGGCTGGCCATTTAAATATTAATTTTAAATGAAGTCAAAGATATCATTTATTTTACGCATGGGAGTTGGGAAAGGGTTGGTGAAGCCTAGTAAATAAGTTCCTTTTAATTGTGGTGTATTATTGCAGTTGTTACTATACTCCAGCTTCCATCTACCTCTTGAATAAGTTGTAGAGATAAGAATATGTGTTTGAAGGAGTCTATAAACGCAAAGCTACACTAATGATAACTTATTAATAATATTAGTACTACTGGCTTTCATTAAGAAAATTCCGGGGGCCGGTGAGATGGCTCAGTGGTCTAAAGCACCTACTTAGAACAAGCTAAAGCACAGGGACTGCGGTTCAATCTCCCAGCACCACATGCCAGCCAGCCCCGCCCCGCCCCGCCCCCTGGTGGGCTGAGTTGGCCACACACACACACACACACACACACACAAATAAAATTTTAAAAAAATAAAAAAAACTTCCATATATTTTTAGGCTTTATATAAATATCTAAAAAATTTGGCTTCACTTCCAATGAGATGTAAATATGTCTCTATATGTGTGTATGTATATATTTTAAATGTCTTAATAGATCACTGTATATATGAAACATTATATACATGTCAAGTAAATTTTATGAATGCACAAGATAAATTAATACTCTCAAATATTAATTAAACTAAAAGTTATATCTAACAGTATAATACCATCCCATAATTCACATGGGTACCATTCAGTTGGAAGTGTATTATGCTAAGACATAACAGCATTCAATTCACATTTATGTTTTGTAGCCTATTGACATGTTACTTTAATAAGGGGTAGTAGATTATGTAGTAGATTCCTAAGTCCAAAAAATTTAATCTTGGTCCCAGGGAGATGACTCAGTGGAATAAGTGCTTCCCTGGCAAGCATAAGGGCCTGAGTTCA